GCTCTAACCATTATACTTTTAGATATCTTCGATTACTCGGCCCGCACTCGAGTGGAAATCGAAATGCTAGATGTAGGTTACGAAAGTGCGAGCAGAGCAACCGGCGACGGCGACCGAGAACTAACCACCGCCGATTCTCCAGACACATCGAACAAGGACTTTATCCCAGTCCTATGGAATAAATTCTGACGACAAAAGGGAAAAACGTGTACACGGTGTGTACGGTATACTGTTATCGGTCGGTCCTCCTCTCTTCCGTGCCCTATTCCGCGCGTCGCCGCACTTCACGTATAGCTGTATGATCAGCTGGCGCGACAGACACCCACCCCAGCCCACCCAGGCTTTGCGTGCGTACAATCGCTGCCTTCATCGACCGTATTTGTACGCGACGCATCCATGAAGAAACACGAGCGCGGCGGCATTGAACGTGCTGAAACGTTCGCCGATAAAGGGGAACGTTCTCAGATGTAGCAGAAAAGAAGAAACTCGACGCGCGCGCACGCACACACCAGTACCAGGTTGAGAAATACGCATGTATATTCCAAGAAATTTCGTACGTAAGTATTATAATACTATACACACGACACGCATACACGTCTCACGGAACGGAAAACAAGGAGAAAATGATAAACGGCGAAAGAGCGACGAATGAGACGATAAAATAAACTCGAAGAGCGCGAGAAAAACGTCGAGAAGAATCTAAACAAAAGTCGAAGCAGCCAAGAATAACGAAACGATGGACAAAAATAATCTATTCTTCCGTTCCACTGTGTTTTGTCGTTACGAAAATAAACAAGTATTTCGCTTTCTTGGAAACGTTTAACGGGTATAACCACCGTACAACGACCGAGCGTAAGCGCATATTCATGGAATAAGGAGGAAGGAAGGAAGGAAGGAAGGAAGGAAGGAACGAACGAACCGACTAACCAACGAACAGAATACGAGCCCCACCGCACAACACAGCTGGGTTAGGGCTGCGCGTTAGTTTGTGCTCGAGCACATTCAGCCCCCGTGGATAACACGAACGGCCATCGCGACCGTTTTCGCAACCATTTCGTAGCAGGGTTTACATACTAGTACTGTATGCTACTATTTACCGAGAGAACGCGATCCTCGCCGCTAATTCTTCGAGCACGACAGATTCGCGTTTGACAATGATACTACATACCTGAGTGGCATCCGAATACGGCGTCAACGAATTTTTATCCACAAGCAACGACCCAAACATGGGAATTCCCGAACTGGATGGGCTGTCTTGTTGTTGCGGCACCATTTTCGGGCCGAGATTTCTATCAAATTTCTTCTCGGCACTTCACTTTTAATAGTCACCCGAAACTACACTGCACTCGATGCAACTGTGATTTCAATCCGCGTAAAAACGAGTCTTCCGACACGAACACGTTTCAATCTCCAACTTGTCTCGCGTTTCATTCGACCACCTCCCCCTTCGCTCTCTTCCACGCTGAATCAAACAGACAGTAAACGGACGGAGACGATAAACGGGACGATGGTTCAACCGATAAATTATCGATCGCGATAAACCTGCGAACGTGCGACGCTCTCGCGTAAATCTTTTTGGGTAACAGCACCTCTCCTCTCCTCTCCTCTCCTCTCCTCGCTTCCCTTCCCTTCCCTTCCCTTCCCGGTGATCTGCGTCCAGTGGCTGATGAAAATATCAACAGGGGAAAAAGTGTGGATAGTAACGGCCGGCGATGCTGGCGAGGCACTCGCGAGAACGATTACTAAGCGCACGCACTTTACAACACCATGCGACGCAGTAAACACTACGAGAGTAATACACAGCGACGGGGCGACGGTGAAGAAATATGGAAAAAAGCTGTATGTATGTTCGCATACGTTCTTGTTTACGCGTGCTCCGTGGCGGATATATGTACGTATCGCTCGAACACCAATCTCAAGATCGGACGGCTGCTCGACGATCACGAGGATCACGCATTATCGACCGACGTCGCAACGACGCACGCCCGACGAGCGCTCATTCGTAACTAGCTCGCCCTCTCGTCAGCCTTCTACCTCTATACTACGCTCAGCTGAGACCTACCACCTACCCCCACTAACTCGCGTAAACACGCTGCCTGCCGCCCCTCCAGCCAGTCGCGATGCAGCCGTTCTTTTGTCCCTCTTTAACCCTGAAACCTTCTGCGTTCCTCTCTTTTCTCCTTCTCCGTCTCCGTCTCCTTCCCTCCCGCTCCAACACTACATTTACGTACACTCCTCTGCTTTCATGCTCGCGCGTGCATAGACGCTACATTCACGCGCGTAGCTTGACCGATCTTCTTCTCTCCTGAAAACGTATCACCACGTTTCACCATCCTCCTACTCCTCCTTTCTATTTATTCGTTAACGTTATTCTATTTGGTTCGTCCCCCGAGCATAGGTGACACACGCTGCCTGCCTCTCGATCAACTTTTCGCTCTGTTTTTCCTTTTACGTATGTATGTACCAAACAGAGTTTCACGCTTTCTGCGTAATAAACGCGTCGTCGCCGTCGTCGTCGTCGTCGTCGTTTTCTTTCGCCTTCCATATCGTGGACAGTTGTTATCGCGCGCCGTAAACTCGTTCATCTTCCGGATGAAGGTTATCTTGGCGTAGACCGTCTGCACAACGATCGATTAATCTCCGATCGCGATCTGAACGCGCTATCGTACGCGTTGTTTACGTATAGAGGCGAATCGCGTGGCGGGACGACATT